CCTCTTCCCTCCATCTCTCCCTCCAGAACATAGACACGCTGGAGCGAATAGCAGGGCTAGAGCAAGAGGACCTGGTGGAGGCCCACGGCACCTTCTACACGTCGCACTGTGTCAGCCCCAGCTGCCGACGAGAATACACCCTAAGCTGGATGAAAGGTGAGGCCAGAGGGCATCCCGAGGGCGGGCATCCCGAGGGTGGGCCTCCCCCCAGCAGCAGGAGCAGGGGCAGGGTCTCCTTGCAGTGGGCACCCATTCTTGAGTCCTGCTTAATGTTGACTGAATTGTAAACATTGTGTGTGGCTTTGACTACCATATTGGACAGTGTGGCAGGACGTACAGCATGAGAAGGTGGACCCAGTCCTGGTGAGGGTGAAGGCTGGGGCCATCCCTAAAGACTGCAGGGCCTGCTAGAGTCAGAATCCCTGTTCATGTAAGGACTGAATATATAGAAAAAAAAAAATCAGCCAATCCACATTTCTTGAATGCCAGAGAGAGATGATTTCTGACACCCATTGTGCTCATTCAGAAGCCACTTAATTCCGGCCAGGCTCAGTAGCTCAGGCCTGGAATCCCAGCACTTTGGGAGGCCCTGAGGCGGGTGGATCACCTGAAATCAGGAGTTCGAGACCAGCCTGGCTAACATGATAAAACCCCGTTTCTACTAAAAACACACTAAAAATTAGCCAGGCGTGGTGGCACACACCTGTAGTCCCAGCTACCTGGGAGGCTGAGGCAGGAGAATAGCTTGAACCTGGGAGGTGGAGGTTGCAGTGAGCCAAGATCATGCCACTGCACTTCAGCTTGGGCAACAAGAGTAAAATTCCATCTCAGAAAACAAACAAACAAACAAACAAGAAGCCACTTATTCCACTCATGGAAAGCCATTTCTGGCATTCTTTATGCTGATTTAACAAAGCCACTGGTGTCCCTGTTGGATAAGTACAGCTGCAGCATTTGCAGAAGGGCCTCTGGGGTGCGGCTGTTCTGACGAAGTACCAGCTGAGCGCCCCTGGGCTGAGGAGTCCTGAATGGCCCAACTGCGGGCAGCTGGGGCAGTGTGCAATTCATATGACCCCCGTTATGTGTCACTGACAGCGCCGTCACAGGCGGCACCCACGGTGTCATGCTGTCCATACAGAAACAGTTTAAAGAAAATTCCCGACTACTGACATAGAAACAATGCTCTATAAATGTGTGCTGAATGAACGGATGGACAGTCGAGCCAATGACTTAGAATTCAGTGGGTTGCAAGTGACAGAAATGCTGGCTTGTTTTTTGTTTTGTTTTGTTTTGTTTTTGAGACGGAGTCTTGCTCTATTGCCCAAAAAAAGTAAAATAAAATAAGGCTGGGAATAGTGGCTCACACCTGTAATCCCAGCACTTTGTGAGGCCAAGGTGGGCAGATTTGCTTGAGACCCAGGAGTTTGAGACCAGCCTGGGCAACATGGCGAAACCCTGTCTCTACAAAAAATACAAAATTTAACCAGGTATGCTGGCATGCACCTGCAATCCCAGCTACTCAGGAGACTGAGGCAGGAGGACCACTTGAAGCTGGGAGGGCGAGGCTGCAGTGAGCCGTGATCATGGCACTGCACTCCAGCCTGGGCAACACAGTGAGACCTGCCTCAAAAAAAAAAAAAAAAAAAAGAGGCGTTTCCTAAACAGAGTGGACACCCCAGGAGATGTCCAAGTGACGGAGATGTGCTCATACTAGCAGTGGAGGGGGTGGGGGTGCTGGACCTCCAGACCCCAGCCCAGAGCCTCTTACTGCTTTCTCTCTCTTCCCCTTCCCCACGCCCAGGGAAGATCTTCTCGGAGGTGACGCCCAAGTGTGAGGACTGTCAGAGCGTGGTAAAGCCTGGTGAGCTTCATCGGGCCAGCGTCCTGCCCAGATGGATTTGGGTGGGGGTCCCCTCCTTCCTCTGACCCCTTCCCAAAGGCCACACCCCCACACATCTGGCCACCTCTCTCTCTCTGAACAGTGCCCCAGATCCATCCTGGGGAGAGTGGGGTCTGTGTCCCTGGCCGGTCCCCGCTGCGCCCAGCTCCCACCCCAGCTTCTGGGTCTGCCCCTGCCCCCACCTGTCCTCTCCTCCTCCCCATGTCACTGTCTCTGTCCGTCTGTCTTGGCCTCAGATATCATCTTTTTTGGTGAGAGCCTCCCAGCTCGTTTCTTCTCATGCATGCAGTCAGTAAGTGCCCACTACACCGCCCTCCCTATCCCCCAACCCCCACCTCCCCCAGTGCTGGGCCCCTTGGGGGCAGCCTGAACCCTGCCCAGGAAAGGTTGCCTCCCTGGCTGTGGGGGGGCGCAAGGAGGTTTGCTGCTGGGGGCCGGGGAGGGAGCAGTGTCGCAGCCTGGGCAGAGGCTCCCGAGCTCACCCCTCCCCGCAGGACTTCCTGAAGGTGGACCTCCTCATCATCATGGGCACCTCCCTGCAGGTGCAGCCCTTTGCCTCCCTCATCAGCAAGTAGGTTGGGGGCTGCAGCTGGGAGGGTGGCTGGGTACCCAGGGCCAGGACAGACCCTGATCCCTCAGCTCCCCCTCCCGCCAGGGCACCCCTCTCCACCCCGCGCCTGCTCATCAACAAGGAGAAAGCTGGCCAGGTAAGAGCCCTTCCTCACACCCCGCTCCTCACTGCCTCCCCTTTCCCTCCCACCAGCTTCCTCAGAGGGAACCCCTGCCACGGAACCCCAGCACTTTGAACTCCTCAGCTCAGACCCTGGGGCTCTAGAATCCAGAGGGGTCAGGTTCCAGGCCTCTGGGACATCCACTACCCTTTTGAGCAAGTGATAGAATTCCAACTCAAACTAGCTGAACCCAGAACAGGAAGGACAGTCTTCCAGGGCCTGAGGAGGAGGAGGCGGTGGGGTAGGGGAAGGTGGTCTCAAAAAAAAAAAAAAAACAAGGGCCGGGCGCGGTGGCTCAAGCCTGTAATCCTAGCACTTTGGGAGGCCGAGGCGGGTGGATCACGAGGTCAAGAGATCGAGACCATCCTGGTCAACATGGTGAAACCCCGTCTCTACTAAAAATACAAAAAATTAGCT